GAAACAAGGCTTTCACAAGGGTTGACAATTTAATGAAGCATAATTAAGTTTTGGGACTACGCAACCGAGTATAAGCAATTATCATCTATTATGATGCGTTAGAATCAGTACGAAAATTTTCCAAAACTTTCTGCAAAAATCGCAGCTTTTTCTGCATTACTCACAAAAAAAATTGCAATCAGTTTTCTAATCTACTCATATCATTTAGTTCTTGCGGTTGCAACAGTTTGAATATATACGGAAATGTTCTGCCTCTTGCTCTTAAAAAATTATAGTCAAATGTAATCTATCACAACCCATTCAAATCAATTACAATGAAAAATAACCCAATTCAAATAATAATGTTATATAATAACTCACTTTTTACTTTGTTTTGTTTCTAATTGTCTTTTAATCCATTATAATTGATTTTTTTTTGGTTTTTATGGAGGCAGACCATAAAAACTATTATGATCAATTAATATCCATAGCCCTTGTTGTGGGTTTTCCAATTTTTTTTCTCAAACTAAATTTTACTGAACGTCGTCCTGATCAGTTGAAAAAATTCTCCTGGCCAGTGGATAAAAACTAATCTCGAACCCCTCAACTTCAAAGTTTAGATTTTTTTCGGCTTTTTGTTGTTTCCATTGCATAAATTGATCTATTTTGTTTTCTTTTAGGCAAATTTTAATAATTTTTTGATTGTTTCATTTAATAATGGATTTTGAAAGATCTAAAATGTCTGCGTGATTAGAGGCTCTGATCAAAAAATGTCATTGATTTTTGTTGGCTAATAAACAGAATAACTTTTTGATTTGACAAGTAAAAATATATTTTTTTAATCCAGAAAAGTAGTCCTGCAACATCTACTATGAAACAAAATTATTTGTTAGATTTTTGCCTCGATCATCTACTTGAATGAAGCTGTTAGAAAATCTGTGCTGACTATTTTTCTATCCATAAAGTGTGTGATCAAAAATCTGTCCAAATGGAAAATCGATATCTTTGAAGGCAAACAAGAGTAGTTTTGTATTGACTAAAACCCAAAAACTGATGAAAACTAGTATTACGATTAGGAAAGTCAAAAATTAATTTAAACTTTTGAAATGGCTAAAACTAAAACTGATTGTCTTTCAGATTTTTTTTCAAAACTCTCCAACACACGCTACATAAAGCACAGAGTGATGTAATAAACGTCTGACAGCTTTTCATTAAGTCCAGATAGCTTGCCTGATTTCAATTTGGATGTTCGGATCTGGAGTAAATCAATGGCTTACGCGTTTATAGCAGGAATTATCTCGCGTTTTAATTATCCCAAATTGGCCAGATTGAAAATTTTTAAATCCCACTTTTTTAGAAACAAAAAAAAAGATAAATTATTCTCCAAATATGAAATGAAGAACTCGATGACTTTTAAACACATAAGAAATCCATTTAAAAATTGTTATTTAAAAATACGAAGTTTGTCGGAAGAAAAAATCAGGTTGAGCAAACTATTTCCATCCTCCAATCGAAAGTTGGAGCAATTAGCTGTTCATTAATTAAAAAAATATTTAATTAATTAAGGGAAATGAGATTGTTTTTTTCTTTTTTTTTTGTTTTAATTTGCAAATTTTTGAGCACGTTAACCTATCAAAAAGAATTCTGGAGTTAAGAAGTTTCATTTAGTTTTAAAAAATGATAGTCAATGTTCAATTTTGGGCAAGTGTTCTATTCTTCAAAAGTTTGAGTGAACACAGGATCTACTAAAGTTTCTGGCCAGAACATGAAGTGTAATAATTATTGTAGAGTAATTCTTTCAAAAGGCCCAAATGTTAAGAGCTACATTTTCTCAGAAGAAAGTTATTTTAAAGCAAGAGCATTACAAAATCCATGATTTAACCAACATTTTTTTCCATTTTAATAAAAACTTCTTACGTGTTCTAGGAACATCAAGCAGTTTTGAAAAAGTTTTTGTTTGTGGGAAAACTTTTGAATAATTAAGAAATTTTGACAATTCAAAGTTTTCTATATGGCTGATGATTCAAAATGTTGGTGTTTTGGTTCAGCATAACTAACTAACTTCATATAACCTCGTGCTTAATATATCATGTCTGGGAAGATTCACTTATTAAAACGGATCAGCTATACAAACTGAACTACAGTGGCACCAACTGTTTAACTAGTACTTAGCTAGCTTACTAAGAAAAAATATTATTGGTAGAAGTAACATCTGAATTCTCCGAGTGATCTGTTTATTTTTAAATGAAATTTTTGCGAGATGTAACTTAATTATATCTGTTTTCTCAATGAAGCAAATTTCATTTTTTGAGGCAACTTTTTGTCTCTGATTCTTTGCCTATTTTGTTGTTCGATTGACACTGGGGTCTTACCTGTATTGTTCTTACGCTCTTGTTTCTCTACAGCCTAAGTGTACCGTAGACAAGAGTTCATTTATCATTCTCTGTTTTTCTTAGGCAACCAAAAAGTTTCAGAAGACTCAATTAGCAAGACCTGACATAAGCAATGAACAGATTTCTCTAACCCTTTTGCATAGAATTTTTTTTTACTTGCACTGAAAAACCTATGTTTGCTTCCAAGACAAATTCTAGATATCCGCATGGTTTTGAACCTTCAATTTCATAAATAATAAGAAACACTGGGTCTAAACTAATTTCTTAGTTAAATAGAAGAATTTCTGCTTTATCTGTATTCAAAGTCAGACAATTGTTTTCCATGTTAGCATTGACGTCTCTTGACAATTTTCTATTGTGTTTTTAAATAGTTTTGTATTTATTTATTTCACTATCAGACAGGTTTCATCTGCAAGTTGATTAGTTCAACTTTGATTTTTAAAAAATTGAAAGAGAATTCATTAAAATAGAGGATGAAAATTTTTGGTCCAAGAATTGTATCTTGTGGCACTCTGTGATACAAAATTTGCCATTCAGATATTATATTTGTAAATTTTACTGCCTGTTGATGGTTTTTCAGAAAGTTTACAAAAAAACGTAGTTGTCTTTGAAAAGCCCATTTGTTGATTTTTTTGCGAATATCTCTCAATTTTTTTGCAGAAAAAATTGAGAGATATTGAGTTGAACGCTTTGCAAGCTCCAAGGAAAAAACTGTAGTCCTATTTATATTGCGACCATTAAATTGTAGTAATTCCATTAAGGAAATTACAGCGTGCGAATTGCATACTATTTAAAAGCTTGTTTTAGTCTATTTCTCAGTTAATTGTTTCAATAAATTTTTTCATAAAATTTAGCCATTGTTGGAGTCCCAGAAAGGTGCCGTTGATTTTCAGCTGCTCTATCAATTTCTTTTTTTTTAAATTTGGCGTAATTTAGGGCTTTTTTCTATCTGATACGGGAAAACATTCGACATTCATTCATTGCGAAAAGCATTCATTCATGTTTTACGAAATACATTCATTACAAAATGCATTCATTCATTACCAGCTGTAGGTGTTTACCCGTTGCAAATTGGACCACATGGTTTTTTTTACTTTGTAAAACATGAAACGACTGAATTAGTTCTTGGTAACTGACCCTATTTCGAATTTTTTCTTAACAATGATTTTGTTTATCCATGACCTGTGAACAATTTCTGTTTTGTTTTTGTCAAATTTGTCATTTAACTTATGTTCTATTTCAAGTTCTATAAGTTCTATATCAACTTTTGACTAGTTAGTTGTTCGCCTGAAAGATAATTTGAAGAATTTTTTTGTGTGGCTTATAATTTTTTCTAATTTTGAAATGATAAACTTCTAATGTTCTTGATATTTTGTCATTTTTTGAAAAATTGTTCAACCCCTCTCAGCGATTTTCAAAAATCTTTTAATAAGGTTTCTTTAGTAGTTATAAAGTATTGTTTCGAATATGTTTGATCACTTTTCCAATTGTTGAAAAACCGATGTTTTTCATTGATCATCTATGTTTTACATATTTTGTTAACCACGGTTTTTTTGTTTGAATATTCTTCAATCAAATTTTTTTGCCTATTATATGTGAATGTTTGACTGAAATACTTTTGAATATGTCAATAAAAACTAAAAACATGCTCTGTGCAGTTGTTTGCTGGTATTTGATGGACCAGTATTTTTTTGCTCAAAATAACTTTTTTTCTGCTCAAACAAACTAAATGGAGGCAAGTTTGCCTCCCTCTAATAATTTAAAAAAAAATTTTCTGAAAATTGATCATCGATAACTCTAAAAGCAATGGAAGGACGGAATTAAATCTTTGTGTCTTACACTCAAAAAAATTGCCAGTTTGAGCGTAAGTAAAATTGTCCAATAATTTTTTTAAAAAGTGGGCAAAACTCGGGTTGACTGTAAGAACGGTTTACTTGAAGTGAAAATTAACTGATTTAATTAAAAGATATTTTTTAAAATATTGGAAAAAAGACAGTCACGGGAGAATCAACTACTAGCAATGAAATGAACGAACCTTTTCTTGACGATTCTGTCGTATTTGCTGTACTTACGTTAGATACATAGTTACGTAAGATTTTAAGCAACATAGAAGATTGAAGCCGTTTCAAAATCTAAAAAATTAATTTCAAGGTTTCCAAGCGTCATTTGGCCATTCTGTATGGAGTCGAAGCTCGTCAGAGAAGCGTTCTATGTGGCGAAAAGGTTTTCTGAATTTGGACTCCGTTTTTTCATTAGTTGTGGTTCCAGGCCCATTAAAAGTGAGGCGTTTTTCGGAGAGAATCAACAGAAATGGGCGGCCATATGACCTTATGAGGTTCTATCAAGCTTAGTAACCTAGTGCAATTGGAATGCAAATTGTGCAAGATTCTTGCAAAGGAATGAAAATCTTGCACAACTTTCGCGAGATTTGCATTTTCAACTCGGAATGTAGATCAAATCTTAAAATTTTTCCAAATATTGCATTCCCCTAAGCTCGTAGAAATTTCAGAGGTGATTTATAATTGCATAATCTGAATTTGCGAAGTCTGAAATTTGAAATTTTGTTGCCTGTTATTTTTTGTAATGTTTTATAATGTCGTATATCCATGACATCACAAGTTGCCTTACCTCAAATAGTCGCCCTTCATCTTGTAAAAGAAGACTGCAGTCTCCTTCAGGTGGTCGTTCTCCGGCACAGTGCCCTCGGGAGGCAGGAGGAAGTCCTGCAGGATGCCGATGATCTCATTGCAAAGTCCCACCAGCTCAGACTCTATCTGCTCTCGGAAATCCTAACACACAAAATCGGAAAATATTATGTCGGAAAATAAACCATTTCTCTGTTATGTATAAGGTTTATAAAATAACTTGATTTTACTTCAACCGACTTTTTTACTATCCAAGTTTGATTTTGGCCAAGCAAAAGAAGCTGTCTCCAAGTAGTTGATTCAAAGATACATAAGCTTGTTGAGATCGCTACAAGAATTTAAAAAAAAACATTGTTACGCAAAACGTCAATGGTGTAGACAGCTGAACGATTCATGTGGAAACCAATTTTGTCTATTTTGTGACATTCTATCCTCAGAAGTGTTCGACAATCAAAGCTTCATTGGACGACAGTATCTCTGGATAATAGTTCCTCACCTTGCAGATTGGCTGCTTCCAGTCCTCATCGTTTTTGGATTCCAGACTGCACACGATTCGCCAGGAGGTCCGACGCTGTCCGACTACATTTTTATACGCCACCGAGAGCAAATTCCGCTCGTCCTCCGACAATTGGTGCTTGCTGGAGTCGGCGTCGGACGAACTTCCCGCCTCCTTCATTAGTTTGTGTTTGGTCTCCACAAGCAGTTTCATCGTGTCTTTCATTTCAGTGTACATTTCCAGCTGCTCGGCTAAAATTACAGTCACTAACTTAAGAAATCTTTAACGAGGAGTGACCAGCAACGTAATTGATTTGAGTTACCTTAAAAATTGCATGAACAATTTCTAAAATTTTTATGCTAAACATTTTAGGACAGACTTTTTTTCTGTTTATGAATCGCTCTTTTCATAGAAAAACCTCCAATAAGCATTCCTACGAATAATCTGAGTCTTTTGGTTTTCTTTAATTGAGATACAAAAAACGTTTTTAGCTTTTTAGGCACCACTTGTTTCTATGCTTTAGACTCATCAACATTATTGCGATACTTTTTGTATTCACGTGTAGCGAGTCGGTAAATTTTGGGATCATCTCACAAACTGAACTTAAGCAATAATCAATCAAAAATAATAATTTGAGTAATTAAGAAATAAAAAATAATAATTTGAGTAAACAGGCTAAAAACCGCAACATCAATTTCTTTTTTGCATTTTTAGGCACAGACAGATGATTTAACTAAACTTTTTTGTTTCTTATGTAGTCGGAAAATTTGCTGGATCATCCCAGTAACCAAGATACTTTCTTCTTTTTGTTTCGCCATTTTGATCGATATAAAAGTTACGCTAAAAGCAAAAGAGATCACTTGTTTTAGTGTACATACCTAGTCGAGCCTTATAGACCAGGGATTCTGTCATGTTGATGAGGTTGTAATTGGTGTAAAAACTATTATTAAATTTGAGCCGACCTTAATGAGTGGTCTCTTTTATGACTATGAGTGTACAACGGTTAAAATAAAACGTTACAGTAATACACGACGACGGACCCGCTAGTAGATGAAGCAACGTGCGTTTTTGACCAATGCACAAACTATGCCGAGTATCTTGCTGAGATCGATTGACAAGGTGTACTTTCTTCAATCTAGACAAAGTTTATACCAACAATGTTTGTCAATAACTTTCTAAACTCATGGTACAGAAAAATCCAAACTAAAATTATTTATTGACCACAAAGTGCTATAAAAACGCTATAATGGTCAGCCCGCTTTAATTGATTTCTGATCACGAATTACAAATTATGAGCTATTGTTTTGCGAAGAATCTCAAAAACGAGAAGTGAAGTTTCGAAGAGTGTGGTACAGCAAGATGTAGATTTGTTCATTAAGCAGTACATTTAGACGATGTTTGCTCTACATTTTGGCTGAGTACACAGCGAACCAAACATGGCGCTTTATTCTACCATGCTAGTACCATTGTATCACTATTGAAGCTCAACGGCTGAGACTCAAGTTGCGAAGTTTGATCGACAAATATTCATAGCCGAATTAAAGATCATCTATCTCGAGTGTAGAAATTTGTACTGAAATATTATACCAATCTAAGAACTTCATCATCGACAAGTCATCAAAATTTATGTTCTGATGAAAGAGCGCAGATCGTTTATCAAATAGGTTTTATTGAAACTGTGTCAGCTCGTTCTTATGAGAATTCGAAAACGGTAGCCATTTTGAATTATTTAGAGACCCGATAACTCAAAGAGCTTAAAAGTATTTCAATCACTTGAACGTATCCTTCAAATTGACTCATGAAAATCATGTCGAAGATTTTTTTGCGTTTAAATTAATCGTTTTTAGAAACTTCGAAATATCACCAGTCGCGAAAACTGCAAACATTAATCAAAAGTTTTTTTGAGAATTCTCATTTCAAGTAACGTCTGGCGAACAATTAAAGTCGATTATAGGGTAGACATTATACCATTCAGTAGCTGAAAACGGATTAAATCAAATACAATTCTCAAAATTACAAAATTTAATTCTCAGTATTGCGCGCGAGTAAATTAGCTGTGCAGTTATGCTAGGATTGATTTTGCACCAGGTGAAATCACACCGAACCAACGTTTATCTAGCACTGGCAAAAATTTTACACGAAAAAGAGAGAAAAAGTGCTTAAGCTTCAAATTTTGGTTTCATTTTACCCTATTTCTTAACCATTCCCGCACTCAGTAAAAAGAGAAAATAATCGATTTTATTATAATTATAATCGTACTTTTAGCAAAATTAGAGTTCATTATAAGCGCCAATTTTAGATGTTTAACTGATTTATAATCCATTATAATGATAAAATTTTTGGTGACATTTTAATAAATTATAATCAATTATAATTGATTATAATTCTTACGAAAATCTCTTATAATCTATTATAATAGATTATAATCCCTTTTTCTATCTGATTTATAATCTGATAACTGATTTATAATCCATTATAATGATAAAATTTTTGGTGACATTTTAATAAATTATAATCAATTATAATTGATTATAATTCTTACGAAAATCTCTTATAATCTATTATAATAGATTATAATCCCTTTTTCTATCAAAAAATTATCTCACAAAATTCATTTTACCCTATTTCTTAACCATTCCCGCACTCAGTAAAAAGAGAAAATAATCGATTTTATTATAATTATAATCGTACTTTTAGCAAAATTAGAGTTCATTATAAGCGCCAATTTTAGATGTTTAACTGATTTATAATCCATTATAATGATAAAATTTTTGGTGACATTTTAATAAATTATAATCAATTATAATTGATTATAATTCTTACGAAAATCTCTTATAATCTATTATAATAGATTATAATCCCTTTTTCTATCAAAATATTATCTCACAAAAAAAATTATAATGGATCATAATTTAGCTATCCGGTAAAAATCAAATTTAATATAAATTTAAGCTATAAGCAGGGGCGGATCTAGGACTTTCTCGGTTGAGGTGGGCGGATTTTCAAAAAAAATTGGTCGACCTTTTTTATAGGTTGACCGAATTGATTTTATGAGCTTTCCTATCTCACTATAAGGACTATTTTACTATTTTGATCAAATTTTCTGCGCCGCGGGCAAAATTATGAAATGAAAAAACAGGCCAAAAAAGGCGTTTTTAGACAATTTTTGGAAAATTTTGATCTAAAAATTGCGCTTTTGTGGTGCGTTCGCCCCTCAAAATTAGTATGTTTTGGCACCAAAGGCGCCTTTAAAGAGATTTTAGGCTCAGTCACCAAAATGGATATCTCAAGATAGTTCAAAAGAGGAAACCCCGGCTCCTCCCCCCCCCCCCCCCCCCCCCCCCAAAAAAAAAAAACAAAAAAAAACCGCCCCTGGCTATAAGTACAAAATTACAGTTTCTTTTAGTTCGGTAACCAACTGAAAAGCGCACAAAACAAAACAAAAATAAAACGAAATGAAGCGATGACAGAATTGTTGAATAATAATGGACTATAATCCGTTATAATGTATTATAGTCAATTAAATTTGAGAAAAAAATTCAAAAAATAATTGATTATAAACAATTTTATTGTTGTTTTATTGAGTTTTATTGTTTCGAAAAATAGTAACATTAAAATCCATTTTTAATCAATTATAATCAATCCTTTTTCAAATTTATGGAGAATGACAAAAAAAATCCATTATAATCTATTATTTTCTCTTTTTAGTAGCATGAGACGATTCGATTATTTCGGCTACGATTCAATGCTGCTCACAGTTCGACTTAATAAGATTTTTTCTAGAAATTAGCGCCTGCAGAAGAAATGATTGAGAAATTGGGTAACATGAAACATACAGTTAAAGCTTTAGGATTTATTTTTCCTCTTTTTCAAGTAACGCTTGCGAGGCATGTATGATTTGCGATACAATTTTAGCATCAAGAATTTGGGGCAAAAATTTTCCCATTATCTTTTTGATGAGAGACCTGATCATTAGGATCTTTAAACTGTATTAAGAATCTTGTCAAAAACTGCTAGTTGAAAAGTCGAAATCTGTCTGGAAACAAAACAAGCTACCAGACGCATTAAAAAATTTTACAATAATCTCACTGTTCGTTTCATTTTTTTATACATTTGAAAAATAAGAAGCAACGATTGGAAAACTTCTACGTCAAATTCAATATTATAGCAATCTTATCCTCCTGGCTGCGATAGCTATCTCTCAAAAGTATGCGGCAAATCAGGAATGTCTGCTAGTGAATTCGGCTAAGCTGGTTAATTGCTTTCTTCGATCTGACGTTCGAAGAAAAAGGAAAAATTTGTGTTTGGCGAGGTTTTTTTTTGTTCAGTCAATTTTCGGCGATCGAAATCATAGATTTTAACAAAAATGTTCCCCAAATCTCCAATTGTTTTTGTAAATTCCTGGGAGTTTCTGTAAATTGCAATTTCGACCAAGTTTTGGACTACTTTATGCGCTTTAAGGAAATTAATTCATAAGGCTGAGAGCGTAACGCGATTTATTCATGAGTGTCGATTTATACCGCACAACAAAATTGTTCCAAATTGAATTGAGGCTAGCAAATCGGTCGCATTAATTTCTTACTACTCAAATTTTCACACTTGATTGTTGATATTGTCCAAAGTTTTTATATTTTCAAAATTTTATTTTCCCAAAGTTATTCGATATCGATTACTGGGTATTCGAAACATTCAGGGCCTTGCTCTGATATGCGAGCAGTTTTGTTCCAGATTAAACAACTAATTGTGAATTCAGAGGATATATCAAACGCCATCCAACCTGTCCTAGAAACATTTGATTTTCTATGTCACCTATAGTTCACAATTTTGTTGAGCGCAGATCAGTTTTTCTCAATTCAAGGCCTCTTTGCGTCTAAAACTTAACCAGCCTTACAGCAAATTCCGCCGATAGAGCAAACGATCCTGCTAAACCTTGGATATGATCCTGTGTTACTCTCAAAAAAAGACACTGTGTAGTCGAAATTCAGCCATAAAAACCGCCAAAATCAAGGATGCTGATCAGTCACTCAAACATCAAAACCGCACGTCTCAAAATGTGTTCCGAGGTTTGCCACAAAATTGTATTGAGCTTTTATGATTTATAAACCTACAAAACGTTTTTCTTTAGAGGCACTTTTTATTTTCACTGTTTAAATGTAATTTCTTTTTGGGAAATGTGATAAAGTTATTTTGTATGACATATTTAAACTACGCATTGCGGAAAATCGATTTTCAATTGCAAGAATGAGGTTCATAACGCGCAAAAACGGGCAATTCAAAAAAATGGTCGTTTTTTGCTTTTTCAAGTTTTTTTATACAGTAAAATAGTTTTGTATTATTATTTTTTTGCTTTCATCGCATAAAACAGCTGATAATTCAGAACAACGGAATCGTTTTTTAAAAAGTATAATTTTTCAGTTGATCTGAATTTTGAATAAATGCTTGAAGTTTGTTTCTGCAAAAAAAAAAGATGGGAAAGTGTTCTAAAATACTTTTCTGAATGTAATGGTCTTTTGTACTTATAAAAGTAAATATAAATACTTTTAGTGCAATAATTTTTACATTTCTTTATAAAACTGTGTATTTTGTAAATTTTAAGTGGCTTCCGCGACAAGGTAAAAACTAAATTGTCGGGGAACCCGCTACATTGCTATTTTTGTTTGATCATCTTTGCTGTTTGAATTCCATGGAAATAGAGCTAAGACACTGTATTGCTAAAAATCAAAACAAATACACGCACTTTTGATTATTCCCAAAACTTCGGGAATTGGGAACAGTTTGTGGAATCCACAGTCAAATAGTAGTATGTGTTTAGTTAAATTAGGCTGTCGTGGAATTCGCAACTGCATGTTGAACTCGCAAATTGTAAGTGGATTCGGCAAATTAAATTGAAATCCGCAAACTTTAAGCGGAAGTCAGTTAAATATGCGAAAACCACTTCTATTTGCGGAACCCGCTAATATTAGTGAAATTCAGAACCACTAGCTATATTCGCTCGTTGCCGAATCCGCAATAAAACTAATGTGCCGACAAAAGTTAAGTTATAATTATTTGTGCGCGGAATCAAAGGAAATTTTGTAGGTAGAATCCACCTTCCACCTACATATTAGACTACATTCATAGAATTATCTCTGGACTCCAGTGACCTAAAGATACCAAACTGAGCGCCTATCCGGAGCAAAGTTTGGCCCTGTATTGCTACTTTTTTTAATGTTAATTTTCAATAAAATTTTGAAGAGACTTCGCTATGTGTTTCACGAGAAAAGAAAAAATCAATGATAATATTTACTGGACAATAATACAGTTTTGGGGCAAAATACATGAATCACCAAAATTTTCAAAATTACATGGATAGACTGCTCAAAATTGGA